TCTGTTGCCCACAAACCCAGTGGCAGCACTAGACATTAGCAGACTAAGCATAAGCAATTGTGCTTAAAGCCCTAAGCAATTTCAAGGGTCTCGATTCCTAGTTTTAACTATTATTATTTTTGTCTGGGCTTTGCCTGCTTTAGTACTGTTGTTATTTGAAAAAAATAAGTTTTCAATGAATGTGATCCAAAAACACATTGCTCAACAATGTACAAACTTTTAAAAACTGCTGCAGCAGGATATTTCTCAGTCAGGCACAAGTGCAGTGCACATGCTCTGATTTATTGCTAAGTGCAATTCATGCACTGTGCACATGATTTGAGAAAGATACCAACACTTAGGTGAAAGTGTGAGAGAGCAGAAACTATCTTTTAACATACAGGTGCCCGATGCAAAAGAGTTAAAAGAAAGACAGCATAAACCCTTCACTAGTTTTATGAGTAATTTTTTTCAACGCAGCCACATTCTTTCCATAAATATTTTACCTCAGCTTTTTAAGGAAAATTCCACATTTTCCTGACCCACATACATCCCAATTCTTCTCAATTAAACCAGTTGAACTTGTAGTATGTTTTTTGTAGTATATATTTTGGTTTATAAAAATAATGCAATTAGTATTTGTTTTGGTACACAAAGAATGCTTACCCTAAAGTTCTCCATAGTTACAGCTAATGAGTTTAGTACTTCTGCATCGACTTGTTCATCTTCCAGATCAATCAGATCCATCTTCTCTCTGATCTGCTGAAGGGCTGCTTCAGAACATAATGCGGCCAGATCAGAACCCACAAAACCATGAGTTTCAGCAGCAATCTAGAGGAAGTTGTTTTATAACAGAGAAATGAAAGGCTATGAAATGTTAAACAAGAAATCACTAAACACAGAGTACACTACATACTCTTTCTTTAGAAACCATATAGAAGAAACACTGTATAATATGTGAAATTTTGGTCGTATTAGTATAATACAAATCCCAATTACCTTAAAATTAAGAATTTAAGGGAAGAATATTATTTCTGTTTCAATCAGTTTCTAGTTTTATTAACCCTTTCACAATGGGTACCCTTTAAACACTTTTCTGTGCAAGTCACTGAGTTACATTCAAAATTTAATTGAACAACTTTACTATCAATGTTGGTTGGTTGGTTTGAATTTCGCACAAAGCTGCACGAGGGCTGTCTGCATTAGCCATCCATAATTTAGCAGTGTAAGACTAAAGGGAAGGCAGCTAGTCATCACCACCCACTGCCAAATCTCGGGCTACTCTTTTACCAACGAATAGTGAGATTGACTGTCACATTATAACATCCCCACAGCTGAAAGAGCGAGCATGTTTGGTGTGATGGGGATTTCAACCACAACCCACAGGTTGTGAGTCAAATGCACTAACCACCTGTCCATGCTGGGCCTATTATCAATGTATGTGAATGAAATTAACATTATAATGTATGTTATGATTCAAAGTTTTATGTTATCTAAGTTTTAATTTTTAAAAAAGAAACCTTTAAAAAATACTTAAACTTCAGTTTTGTATTGTTATATGACACACAAACTATGAAAAATATCAACTTTCTCACTTTCAATCTTGTCTTAGATAATGCCAGTCCAATAGATGTATGTCTACAGTTAAGTATGTTTAACTTGCCCTACCAGTCCTCTAGTTGAATGGAGTACAAACAAGTAATAAATTTTGTCAACCCCTAACAGGTGCCATGGCCACCTTCTATACTTTTGCTTGAGCTTTATAACAGACATGTAGTTGCTACATATACATGTTTATAGCTATTAGAAAGAGCTCACTTTACACTATAAGTCAACAACAGTTATTTCGAAATTGGTGCACAGTTGTCATCATCTGGTACATGTAACTGCCTTTAGTATTGTTGGCTGCTTGATCCCCGATAGCACTTTTTTTTAGCTAAATATGTTATAGTTAGAAAGAGTTAAATTGTATTGAAATTTTAATTTTATACCTTAGTTAATTATGAATTATTTATGTTTTAAAATACATAATTGAAAGGTTTAAACATTTTAAAAATATACATCATACTTTGCGTCCGTTCTCAAGGCTTAAGATCTTGCACTAGAAGAAGATAATACTGCCAAAGGCTTGTGCATCTTTACGGAAGATACTGTAATTACCTCTTGAGGGCACCATTGACTTGTGCCAAGATGAGAAATAAAAGGTAAAGGACATAAAAAGGAAAAATAAAACATTGACAATTAACTACATGTGAAAATGAAAAGACCCGAAATTATGAATATAACCAAAGATCTTTTAAAATAAATATCATCGTGCACTCGAGTTTGATGCAAATAACTACAATAATTAAATAACATATTTTTAGTAGAAATAACATCATTCTTTATGTACAAGATACTTATAATCTTAACAAAATTTTACTAGGTTTTGTGATGATACACTAAGAAATCTCACAGTTACATTATGTATTGTTGCACAAGTGAAATTCATACACAGGTGTCCGATGTGAAAGAGTTAAAATACAGGGTGAACCTTTCAGTAGTTTATGAGTAATTTTTTCCAACGCAGCCACATTCTTTCCAAAAATATTTTACCACAGCTTTTTAAGGAAAATTCCATATTTTCTAGAACCACATACATCCCAATTTTTCCTAATTACACCACTTGAGCTTGTAATAAATGCCTCAATACATACTTAATTCAGACTACAATACTACAGAAAAAGCTCTTCAAACAGGTATGTTGCAACTTGATGGAAGAAAAGAAAATGTTGCGTATTTGTCTATAAAATAATAGTTGATGTAATCTATCCTCAAATACAATAAATTATATAATTATCATCAGATAAAGCAGCATAAAGTGATTCACTAAGATTACATTTAAATACACTAATAACTGGGACAGAAGCAGCAGGCTTTATATACACAGGATTTGACAGAGAAAAATAGGGAAATGGGTCAAAAACTTTCTTGACTTTGGAGAATAACTTAATTTTTCTCGAGTCTGATTCTATTTTTAAATTCATAACCTTTGCCAAGTTAATGACCATCCTGCTTTTCATAATGCACTTGAAACTTGATTATCACAAACTGTTATAACAGACAGAGCTTGATATTAATGAAATTCTGAAATCCTGAACAAATATGGTGGAGTTTATTACAAGAAAATTCTGTTTTGGCATAAGTTTTATTTTTAACATGACAATATATACCTTTGGGTCTGAATAAGCATTAATAATTATTATATTGATAAAAATGATTAAAACCCCAAACTGATATAAGCAACAATGATTAATAGTTCTAAAAGAAATAGTATATAAATCTAAACTAACCTTTTCTAAGTCAACATCATCTCCCAGTTTCATGTTTTTTGTATGAATACGAAGAATTTCTAATCTTCCTGTTGAGTCCGGTATTCCAATATCTACTTCACGATCAAATCGTCCTGTAACACAAGATTTTCACTGATTTTTTTTATTTAAAGCAAGTATAGCAGGAAACTTTTCTTTATTAAAATACAACACATCATTTTTTAAATAGTCTCGTACATAAAAAAGAAATAGAGCAAAACAGTCATATGTAAACTCTGTCTTAACCTCAAATAGCTAAATGCATAAAGTCTATTTCAAGATATTTAAATCTGTTAAATTTCTGTACATTCAATAAAACAATGTAGGGTATAAACTGAAAGATTATATTTACATTAAATTTACATTTTGAGCTGCATTTTCAATGGCAAAGTAAGAAATTTTCCTTATAAACAAAATTTCACCCATAAAAATATTCAGTTTGGGCATACTTTACCTCCATGCTCAGTTTTAGTTACAGGTTTCAATTGCACAGAGCTTTAAATGTTACTTTTTTTAGCTTTTAAGAGATTATAAAAAAGCAGAATTATACCACAGCATTTCAAAATGATGACACATTATCTTTCCATTAGAAACACCTTGAAAAAATTGTTCACTTGGATATATCTTCTTCTTACTGGGTTATGTCTTAAAAGTATTATGGTCAATTACAACTGTATGTATAGCACGTAATGTATATTTTGATCTTCAGAAAGCAAACTTGTAATAGAATCACTTGCTTCATAAAAATGTCTTGAATTCAACAGAACAAAATTACTTTCTTAACTTTAGTTTTCAGTTCATTGCCTTTAAAAAACTGTTTATGAAATACTGTATTAAAATTAGTTTCCTCAAGTAAATACATTCCTATATTAATATCATGATACAAGTTATTGTTTTTTAGTCTCTTTTCATTGGTAAAATTAACAGAGAAAAAGCTTTTCCAAAACCCTTTTTTTTCCTTCATTCTAAAACTCATAAAGTGAACTGCAAAAATTAAACTTAAATACACCAATTGTATGTCCTGAACTATCCCTCTTTAAAACTGAAAACCAGGTCTTCCTATCAGATAACATTGCAGTTTGGATACAAAAAAATTAAATAAAAAAAATTGTTTCTATACTGTAAAAGCAGTTTATAAATTGAAAATAAGCTTTCAAGCTTAATAAAATGCTTTAATATAGGTCTTCAATAACATTCTGTCAGAAATATCCTGTGCATTTAACTTAACTATGAGTTTAAACACATAAAAACTACAACATACCAAAACGTCGAAGAGCAGTATCGATACTATTTGGTCGATTTGTAGCTGCCATTACAATGACGTGAGAACGTTGTTTTAAACCATCCATAAGAGTGAGCAACTGTGAAACAATACGTCTCTCTACTTCACCATGGGTCTGAAAAACAGTGATAATTGTTAAGCATATTAACCTCTTTAAATTTCAAAAACAACATTTTTCAAACTATGAGCATGAGTTTCTAAATTCCTAATTTTTTTTCCAAATTTCAATGTTTATAAATGAAATGTTATTAAGTAGAACTATTTAAAACACATATTATTAGATGTTTTAAATTAAATAAATTGATAGTTTAAAAAATACACAATGAATCAAATTTATGAGTTACTTAAAGTAATAACTAGTACATCTGTTTCTTATTCTTTCTTCTTACCTTTTCTCTTTTTGGTGCTATTGCATCAAGCTCATCAATGAAGATAATAGAAGGGGAGTTTTTTTCAGCTTCTTCAAAAGCTTTTCTAAGGTTACTCTCTGACTCACCAGCTAACTTACTCATGATTTCTGGCCCTGTAAGATTACCATTCTGTTTGTTTAATACACATAACAATTAAATTCATGACAATAGCAATACACACACACATATATATATATATTATTTGTGTTTTTGATTAAGTTCTTATTGTTAAAATAAGCAATAACCCAATGATTCTAACTGCTCTACTCCAGACCCCAATGGGGAGCCTATAATGTACCTAAGTTGTTGCACTACCTATCCAACCATTATTTAACCTATGAAAGTACCTATAAAGCAGTCAATTCTAAAGAAAATGTAAAAAAGAAAGAAAAATACAAAAAACAGTACTGTGTATTTAAGGGTTCTTGATCATGATAAGACTAAACTACAAGTAATAACACAATCAAAGATTCTATTAAAACAAGGTCACCATAATTTAGTATTACAAATAATCATTAATTATTGATAATTAGTAAAAATAAAAAACAAGCTAAGAATAAGTTGTTACCATTGATAAGGAAAAAAAAGGCCCCTGTTTCATTTGCAACTGCACGAGCAATCAAAGTCTTTCCCGTTCCTGGCGGACCATACAGCAATATTCCTCTTGGAGGCTTAAAAAAATAAATTTCCCTCAAAACAAAAAATCTTGCACATGCACACACTGACACATAAATATGAGTTTCAATAAAGATGTTTTACTATATTGAGAAAAATAAAAAAATTTAACTATTGTCCAAATTTTTTATACAAAAAGTTTGGCCATATTACTATACAGATATTCTTTTAGAAGTTATCAAATCTACTAAAAATTATCACTTCAAACGTAAGCTTGTATTACGAACTGCAGATCTTGGTGATTATGATAAAAATTTACGATTGATAACTGAACATCATAAAAATTTGTTTAATGGCTTACTGTTATCTTGTGATAATAAGGTAACTTTCAGGACTTATTACACTGTCTCAACAATACTTATCAGCTGCTACATTCAAAATTTAAATGTTAGGATCAGGAGTGAAGAGTGTAAATCCATGGGCTAGACTGATGTCCACCTATTTCAGTATATGAAATTTTTCAATAGTGGTTAGCCTATCCTGCTAAAAGGATTAAAAAAACTTACAAAACTGTTGATGGCCACTAATTAACTTTTAACCCTATAAGCAATAAACATCTACATACATTGAGAAAACTTTTAGCAACTTGCCATTTACTTCACAGCATTAGGGAAATGGTAGCTTAATGTGATGGATTTTTTTAAACACATTTTGTAGTAAAACACAGATACTGGTTAACACAATGTTATATACCTTTGAACATTTAACTACACGAGAAATTTAAAATGTTATTACAGTTATATATTGCTTATCATTGTTACAGTCTCTACTCAACATTGTATCGATTTGATAAATATAGCTAATTCATTCGGCATCACGTAATTAACAACTATCACATTTGTAACACGAGATCGTATATACTCACAAGCCTCAGAGGGACAACTTTAATGTACTATACATTAAATGGCAAGTTGCCAAGCACTTTCAAGCTCTCCCAAAATAAATGGCACAGACATTAAAAAAACATAAGTTGCATGCTGCTCTGTATGCCGTGGATCCTGATCTCCACTCCAGGCTAGGAAGGGCCTCATGTGCTTTCTAATTTTCTCAGGGAAAAGGTGTATATTTTGCAAGGTCATCTAGGTACAAGAAATGTTGCAAACAAGTATATCTGGAGGCCCGTTCCTGAGAAATTGAACAAAGGGGTCTTGAAATCATCACAATCCCTTCATGAGAGAGTAAAAATTTTAAATTCCCTAGAAAAGGAGGTAAAATAACTTGAAAAAGCCCATGAAAGGATGATAAAAAAATCTTTAGTTTCTCTAGAGAAAGGGATTGTTCTGGAATTTAGGTACAAGCATACATGTAGGTACCACCGGCCTCTAACTTAGATAAAGATTTTGAATTCATACTTTGGTGGCACAAAAATCAATAAAAAAAAGGATGTAAGGATATTTGTGGTGAAGCACAGTCTGGAAGAGATCTGACAAATAAATAAATAAAAAAAAAATCTGGTATTAATGTGACAAAAAAATTAAAATGATACTGCACTAACCACTTCCTACCTCTGTCGGCTGGACCATGATCTTTCAGACAGATGGAGTCGTGAACTAGAACAGACATGATGATTTCTTTTGCAAATTAAAGGAATCCTACAGTTTTGTGATACATCATTCTATTTGGTTTTTCATTTACTGTAAAACAATATTTGTATCTTATCCACCACTGAGTGACCTAGGATAACTTTGAATGTTATGCGTTATTATCTTCCATTGATTGTACCTCCAAGCTGCTTCTGTTTTACAAAAACCACATGACAAAAATTTCAGAATTTGTTGTGTTTTGTTTTTTGAGACAAAGTACAAGTTTCCAGAGTTCAGATTCTGAACTTACCAGGTGCGAGATGTGACAGTTTTTTTAAGTTCAAAGACAGAAAAACTTAAAAAAAAAAAACTATGTGCGCTCACTGCCTTGTAATATTTTTATGCAGTTGTCATCAACCAATCATACGAGTTTTTATCCTATTTATTTGATGGAAATGAGCAACCAAACTCATTTTACACCACTGTATGCAACATACTAGATGTCAACTCCATTTTACAGTATGATTTATTTCTTACTTTTTATAACAAGGTTTTATTTCATTTTTTTAAATTATTTTTTGACATCTTATCTCTGTGAATCTTTGTTAGTACTACAGGTAAGAAAGGTCAATAAGTCATTGTAAGATTCATTCATTGTGAAATAAGGAAAAAATACATTAGGCAGTTGAACTGCTGCTTGGCTATCCAAAAGACATGTCAAGGTGATCTGGCTGGCTACCAAAAAAAAAGTTAACCACAAGCCCTGTTCATCTTGCAGTTTTATATGCTTAACCTTCATAAACATTTATCTCTTATTTTCTCTACCCTAACATCAACTATAGCAAAATCACCAATATACAGTGAATAAAAAGTTGAAACACATGAAATAAAATAAAAAAATAATAATTTTTTTCTGCTCCCTAGTGGCACTGTGGTATGTCTGCAGACTTTTACTGCTAGAAACCAGGTTTCAATACCCGTGGCGGGCAGAGCACAGATAGCCCTTTGTACTGCTTTGTGCTTAATTACAAACAATAACAATTGTTTCTGGAATAACTGGAGATTATAACATAAAATGTCAATTATTTATCATAAGACCCTTCAGGCCTCTAACCTTTTCACAAATTTATTGTTCTTTGAACCTTGTCTAATTACCATTGCAAAGCAATAAATCACCTTGTGAGAACTTAAACAAACTATCAATTTACATCATGCTACAGCAGGCGGAGAGCATTCTTCAATAACAGATGCAAGAATTTTTTATTAAATTTTTACATTGTACTTATGTTTGTTAAAAAATATATATAACAATAAATAGAATACATACATAAAAGCCTTTCGCACTCAAATGCATAGTTTAGTAAGCCTATTTTACTCTCATTATTTGGTTATTTAAAAACAAATTCATGTAGCTTTCAAATATGCATTTTAGGGCACAAAATATATCAGACATTAGAACACAAGGTACCAAAACTACTATAATTATCTGGCTTTCTAACTAACTCTCAAATAGGTTAAGAAATTCCACTACTGCACAGAGTAACAACTTTATTTTCAACCCATCAAGCTTTCCTTGCAAACTGTCAGTTTTGACCATTAAAACAAAACACACAATCATCTGATTTATGCAGTTTGGTTATAAACATGTCTAATAGCAATGTCAGAGAGAATTATAGGCATTTCTTAAGAGACAGCATATCAGGCGTGTCTCATGTGGGTCAAATACATATAGTGATATCTCAGTAAAACAAGAAAAGGTTGAAATTTTATATACCGACTTGAACAATCTGAAATTCATATAAGGAAAGAGAAAAAATCAATAAATGAGAATTCAGAAAACCACTGCATCATGTAACTCAGAGAGGCACAGATTGAGAATATATTCTAATATTTCCTTTCAAAATTAAAAAATTAAACTTAAATAATATAAAAATTTGAATTACAAACTGTGTTTTTGATTATCAACATACATTGATAATATAGTATTTTAATCAAATTTTGAATGTAACACTAAGAAAATTGAGACATATGCACTTTGACATTCCCATGTGCATAGGGTTAACCAAATCATAAAATTACTTGTAAACCAGGTTTTTCTGATATGATTTCTGATACAATAGGCCTCAATAAATGCAGAATAAAATACTAAAACGTAAATAAAATTGTTGAAAGTTCTCCTTTATAAAAAATTGCAAAAGGAAAAGTTAATGAATTGATATGAAATTATGTTGTCATAAAATGTCAAAAAAATAAAACAATTTACAGTGTTTACATATATAGCAAAGCCACAAAAGGCTATCTGCTGTGTCCACTTAGGGGACTCAAACCCCTAATTTCAGCAATTTAAATCTGTAGACTTACTGTTGTCCCACCAGGGGACCAATAGTTTACAAGTTATTATTCTATACAAGTGAAACTACTGTCTAACCACAGTAGCTTAATGAGAAATCCCAAAAAAATATTTTATTAAAACAGATATATCACAATGAAAATATTTTAAATACTAGCTAAACAAATATAACAACTACATACTTTCACCCCAATAGCTTTGAATAAGCTTGGGTGTCGGAGAGGCAGTTCCACCATTTCTTTTATTTGTGCTAGCTGCTTTCGGCAACCTCCAATATCATCGTAACCAACAGCATTTAGAGTCTCTTCTTCCTCCTGTAGTTTAATAACCAAAAACAGTACAAGTTAGTACAAAAGAAAAGAGAATGGTCCTTCTTATCATTGTGCTTATGTCCACTTTAGAGCTTAGTGATGAAAACAGCATGCAAACAAATTATTACATAGAATTACTTACAATAAAAAATTTTGACTCATAGTTAAAACTTAACATCTACCAACTCATTGATTTTCCAAAATGTGTTTGGTTTGAATTTTGTGCATAGCTACACAAGGGCTATCTGTCCCTAATTTAGCAGTGAAAGACTAGAGGAAAGGCAGCTAGTCATCACCCCCCCCCACCCCCACACACACACACACACACAGCTTTTGGGCTACTCTTTTACCAATGAATAGTGGAATTGACTGTCACATTATAATGCTCCCATGACTGAAAGGGTGAGCATGCTTAGTGGGAGGCAGGTTCAAACCCTCGAGTCAAGCATCCTAACCATGCTAGACCCTCTAAAATGTGTATAAATTTGTTAATTTCTACGGAAAAATAGTCCCCTTATATTTTTCACACAAAATATAAATATCATAATGTTTATTCTTCTCATTTAGCACTTACTAACTGTAGTAACTTTAATAAAACATTTTTTTAAATCCCATTGGTGGTTTCTTTATTTTCCCCTATTTCAGGTAGTACAAGATTTTGAAGATAGTGTTGTACTCAAGTCAAACTTCTGCATGGTAATTTCCATGAAATGGAACAAAACACTTTCATCCACAGCACCACAGAAACCACTATGGGCACTGTAGCCTTGAATCGAAACAAAATTCAGACAAAAAAATTCCAGTTATAATGAAAACTATAAGATGGCACATGGGATTAAATGAGTAACATGAAGGTAATTTCAGTCTGCATCACCAAAAAGCATTATGAGAAAAATTATGCATATGAATAAAACCTGCACTAACAGGAACACAGAAAAAAAAAACTTCTATAGTTCCATACTCTATAGGTCTGCCATTACAACTTAGGGAGTCATTTTCAATGCCTGAAATGTTGCAAAATAACACTCCATTTAAAATATCAAATCAGCATCCTAAATGCAACAGGAATCAAGGAAAATTCACTATTTTAAGTTATTGTATATCCATAATATACATCAACAAAGAAATAAAAGTGAGATTTATCCTCCACACTATAACTTTTAGCAAACTTGTGAGTTCACAGGTTTAACTGTGCAAACTTGACATCTCTTCCTATTTGATAGTTTCTAGGGATCTCATAAATTTTGGTGTATATCATATTCCTAATTTGTAAAAATGGACGTTCAAACTTTGCCAAATTAATTTTAAGGAAGTTGTCCATTCATAACACCTTGTACCTACCCATGATGAGACAAACTGCATATGAACCATGTACACATAGTGGTTTGGTGGTACGTGCTCAGCACTGGGTTTTGATACTCGTGGTGGGTGCAACACAGACTGCATACATATTGTGTAGCTTTGTACTTAACAGCAAATAAAACCCCACACAAGTAATACATATAAACAATTATCAAAAATCAAAAATGTAAACACACAAAAATCTAATATTATGTACTATAAAACAAAAACAAATATAGGTGTAATATTAGTTAGAAAGCATCCGAGTAAATGTTACATACTTACAAAGAAATGAGAAACTTACACACCTGTATGCAAACTACAAGATAAATACACAAAACAACTTAAAAATGGGCACATAGTTATTAATTTTTTTAAGTTTCTGGTATTTATTTTGCTGATACAAATTATTTTTATGGTGTTAATCAGGTCTAACAAATTCAAAATAAATCTTATTTAAAATCACTTTTATGAGCCTGAAATACAAAACACTTTTAAGTAAAAGTATCCCTTGATATAATAACATCTCTAAGTTTTAGCAGTGGTCTTTTGAGAATAATTTTCTTCAAATATTTGCTCTGAACAGCATTATTACACATAAGGTTACAAACTTTTAAGACCATGAAAAAACCTGCATCAGCAAAAAGAATGCCAGTAAATTAAAAAAATCAATAATTATGTGGCCATTTTAAAGTTTTTTTTATGTATTTATATTGAATTTTGCATACAGATGTGTAAATTTCTCATTTACATTCGAACATTACAGTACTCTCACACAAATACAGATCAACAGTCAGGCAAAAAATAGGATTATCTAAATGTGGTACAACAAATAAGTGAAACAGTCTACCTAGTATAAGCTTCAGTGTCAGTATAAGCAACTGATAGAATCATATTCTCTATTATAGAAAATCCCTATATTATAATTTAGGGTTCAAGATTTTAAATATATTAAACTAATATTTCTATTTAATATCAAAATAAAAGAAATACATTATGAGCATTGTCTTAAAACATTGGATGCTTTTATCAAAAGATTAGAAATCAAATTTCCATTTATCTACACGTTAATGAAATTCTTGACTTTTAATTGGATAAATAAGATGACTTTGTCTTTGACCTTTGGTAATTAAAGATAAAACTCCTGAGAACAAACTTCTCAGCCATGTTTGATGTCCATTAATTACATAATAATCAAAGTAGAAATGAAGCTCAGTTTGTAAAAAGCTAATGTAATACCATGAACAAATCACTAATGTTTAAAAAGGACAGTTTTTGTTACCTCTCTTTTAATGGGTTCACCTTCACAGTGAATAACAGTATCAGGAGCAACAATACAATATGGACTAGGATCAGTTTCTACAACTTTGAACTCTACTGCACGCATTCCACCTCTGATTCCAAACAGGTCTCCTTTATGAATAGGTCGGTAAGCCTCCAAAAAGTATGGTTTCAGGTATACTTCAAAAAGACTCCTACAAACACATAAGTTAAATATTACAAAACACAAAACCAACATTTTTTGGCATAATGAAAGATAAAATATTTATTATTAGTTACAGCCAACTAGTTTCAATAACACAGTTACCATCATCAGGGCTTGTATCTACAGTGTAGGCTTAACATATATTCAGCTACAACCTTTACTGGATGAATTAAATATTAAAAATAACTATTTTAAAATTCGAAAGTTATTATCAGTTGTGCATAGTAATACTTTTGTTTATTTTATTCACAATGTTTCACCAGGTTTACCTAGCTTCATCAGGTGGCATACAAGAACTGAGACTAACTGAGAATCTATAACAATAAAATAGTTTATGAATGAAATGTCAAATTTAAGTATAATAAATAAAACTATTAGGCCTGAGTCTAAGTATTAAAATAGATATAAATAAACACCGCTGTATTTATTAAGAATAAGGTTATGTTTTTTTATTAAGAGGGCTTCTTTTATTTTTCATCTATTGATTTTATCCTCTCTGCTGAGGATTTTCACCTGGAAAGAATTAAAGGAATGCTTTTTCACAGGCAAATGTTCAAAAACATGAGATGGGGATTTTAAATTTTATCATAAACATGTAGAAAACTGCCTGTGAATCTCACCAATATATGTTGTGAAACATTGGGAATAAAATAAACAAAAGTTTTACTATGTAGAACTGATTAAAACTTGTGTGAACTTTACTGGGTGAGTTCATTTTTTAAAACAAAGTCAGGAAACAAGGGGTGGAAAGTAAATTGCAGATGAGGGATTAATTAAATCAAATAAGTTAAATATGTCAGTTTTTTTTTTACATGTTATTATAGTATCAATAGTCTATATCTTAGCTTCACATACATTGTCCGGCTGCATTCCTAAAGCAGAAATATTAGTAGTAAACATAAGGGCTTACTTGCCACTTAATTGAGATTTATTAATTAACTTTTTAAGATATTGAATGTAATACATATAATAATGGGTGTAGGAATAGGATATTTTAATCCTGAAAGGAATTTTTGTTTAGAACATCTAATTTCATTGTAATTAAATAAATACTAGTTGATAGCCTCAATCTAAAAAATCTGGATCTTTAAATTTCTCTCATTTTTTTTTAAGAATTACAATCAATTCAAGTATGCACTCAAACATGAAATACTACTGGTAACGAGACTCAGCTGGCAATTGTCAAACTGTAGCATTTCAAAGTTACTATATGTGATACAAGATATAATTTATAAAACAACTCATTCATTTGCACTCTAAAACAAATTATGTGTGCTAAAATTGTTTACAAATGGAAAATAAATTGATTAAATAACATACCTGGCTATAAATGTTGTACATTTCTTTAATTGAAATAATACAACTGCCTATAAAGTTTGTATACTTCTTTATCAAGGAAGGCAAACTACAGTAATTATAATAACAACTGAAAATGTTTTAAAGTCCCAGGATTTCTGTTCTATTACCTTGAAGCATGTGATCCTTGTATATCAAACATCAAGTATCAAATAAAGGACATATTAACAGTGAAAACATAGAAAAGAAAATGTTGGTAGGATCTCATGTCTATGTCAGTAACAATTGGATATTGAATACTTAGCATCAACTTTCTAATCTATTTTTAAAGGCAAAAACTTTTAATTAAAGAAAGCTGAATCTTAAGCAAATGGTTTCAGAACTCAATAACAATGAATGTAGAGGTTAGTGCTATATTGTAGTTTAACTTACCCTGTCAAACCTTCTACAGTGTCATCAATAGGAAGAACATGTATTCGTTTTCCGTACTTTACATCTGGACAAGCTTGAACACTAAGTAACAAATGGAATGTTTCACACTCATTTAATAAATTATAGCTTAAATTACCATATATGTGTATTAGTAAATTAGTTATTATAACAGTAAAAAAATAAGCCTTAAAACCTTTTCTAAACACATCTTCTAAACCTAATACATGTAAAAACTATACAATCAGCATAACTAAAATACTTCTTTATGTCTATTTCTTTCTGAATTAATAGCCAGGAATTATACCCTAATTAAACAACTGTTTTCAAAGCAACCCAATGACAATAAAACTATATAGCATTATAATCTTTGGATATGAAGTTGGTTACTTATTGGTGGTTATACTAACACAAACTATATGTTCGAACCATTATATTATTAATGTAAAACTATACAGCTACTTCCAATTTCAACTTGACTACAGATATACTTTAGATCCATGTAAAAAATTATTTAAATTAAATAAAAGTTTTCATGTAGCTTTTGTGGCATTTTGTTTTGAATTTGTGCCATATGAACATGTGCCCTTGACATCAGCTACTAGCTAATCAAAAAATTTCACATTATCTAACTGTGAGTCAACTAATTAGGTGTCATAATGTCTCAAGCTCATCTGTTCAACCCCCCAAGGTTGTGACATGCAGGGGGAATAATGTAACTACTATTGAGCACACATTTCGATGACACCAGGGTTTCTGTGTTAACTCACTGTCCAACTTAGAGTGAGAGATGGTGCTGTCATTTCTGAACACAGTCAGCCTAATGAAATATGCAAGATATAGAATGGGGAATCCCCATCACCACCCAGGAATGACTCATGTCACGTTTCTCTGATATGTTACAGATCATAGATAAAAGTTCAGGAAATACCTACATGTATAAAGCAAGTCAAAAAGTGTAGTTCAAAAACATTAAGTCGTATACAACTCAGCGACAAATAAAGTTCAATAATCATTGCTTTCCAGACTTATGAAAAGATGATAATCCAATCACACCCAAGTGCAAACCACAAATCCACTGCACCAAAGAAAACACAAGTATTCAATATTCTATAGTAGGGAAATAATAACAGATATGCACACTTAATTCCCATAAGTAGTGATGTGCAGACCCATCAATGAAAGAATGAAACAAAATTCCCTCATACTGAGCAGGCACTAAGCTGCATGAACTAACCAGAATTGAGCTGCATTCAGAGGAAGTTGCAAAAACTCAAAGTGAATTGGATGGATGTGACAACCTGTATCAAATGAAGGAGATTTGATAAAAAACAACTTAGATGGACAATTTAATTTACAATAAATACAGCATGAAGCCCAGGTTAAAAAAAAAGGTTATTACTATCCCAGCTCATAAGATGAATACCTGAGGAGAAGAAAAACAAAATTTTTGATGAAAAGATGAAGGACACATCTAGTATGTTCTTGACATAAAATCTACAATCAAGAACCAGAATTCACTACTAAAACGTCATTGAGAAAGAAAAATATAGTAAATAACAAAAATCATATCTGTGAGTGAAAAAACAACCAACACAGCTTTAGACATCATGCATAGACCACAGCAAGCAGTCCAAATGTAAAATCATTTTGACTAGAAAGCAAAGTAGGAGATACTGGAAGAGTAGGTTAATTTTTTCTTGATGTTAGCAATTACCTAGAGAGTGAAGGGATGATCAGAACAGAGACAATTCCTGCTGAATAAAGGGTTTTAGACATTTACTGTACACATCAGACTGATGAGTTGAATGCTAGAGGTATAAGCAAAATATCTACAATAGCTGCAAGTTACCTGTTTTATGAAGTAAAAAATTATATAATAATGTACATGGTTTACAATATCCAACAATTATTATTCACATTAATCATCATTTTCCACACATATGACATCTAAACTATAATTTTACATAACTTGCATTACTACGTAATCTTTTAAATAGTACTGACCTAACAATATCTCCTAATCTGACTCGCAGATTATTTCTAATACAACGATTCATGCGAATCTTTTCATTTGAACAAGTATCATCTGATAGTACAATACAAACTGTTTCTCTTCTCTTCTTCCCTTTCATAAGCACAGTGTCTCCTCGAAACAGTTCAAGTTCATCCATTTTTGCCTAGAAAAGATGGAAATGTATTAATATGAACAATTTTCTGGAGGATAAACATTTTATCAATGCTTCCTTTGTGGTGGCATCTACTTAAACCTGTAAGCATTGAACAACCCCAATTTTATACATAATATACTTGACAAATTATTTGCAGGCTATAATAGTATTAAAAAAAAGAACTAAACCCTTAAAAAACTTGAATTTTGCACCAAAGGCAAAAGTTTTTACTGGTGAATATTATACTATTAATACTTACAAGAATATTCTCAGGTTTGAATGGATCATCATAAACCTAGGTTTACAGTCATATTTTAGACATTTGCAACTTTTAATAAGCTTCACTTTTACCATACTCTCACTACTTCAATATCATACGACATTTTAACTTCAGTACCCAATGTCCAAGATGAAGCAAGTTTCTAATCTTGTCAATCTCAAGAATTTTGTGACAGTAATATTTACCAAATTTAAAATCAAATGTCAATGGATATTCAATTGTTAGTTATAATAGATAAAATGTTTTACTTTAAATACTGTACACTATGCTTTATTACTAATAATTATAAAAAAGTAAAAGACAATATGGAAGATATACAAAAACAATTCTAAAGATTTCATATTAATTTTTTGACATTTACCATTATTCACATGCAGCATTCGAGTATTATAAGGATTTCACATTACTTGTATTGCAAAACATCAAAGTATGGCTTTGATAAAATATAGTTTTGTTTGAACCAGACTCACTACCATGAGAAGCTTTTTCCAGAATGCAAGAAATGCACTTAGTGTATATAATATGCAATGAAATCATACCTCCCCTCTTTGGAGGAATGGGTATACCTCTCAAAATCATTTTGATTGTTAAATACATTATTATAATGTTTTATAAAACATTAAACACCTACACAGTACCTGAGATAAGGCCACAACAGAGTTGTCATCACTTACTGCTTCTTCTACTAACAATCGATTAGGTTTTTGTTTTGTTTTTAAAATAGCTGTTGAAAGATCATCAGGACTAAAATAAGAAAAAAACAACATACATCTGAAATACAGAGTATTTAATACACAATACACACACACACACGAAAAAATAACTATGAAGTATCAACACTATATCTTGATTTGATTACAGTTAACATGTAAATTTAGGAAATGACTTACGTCTTAGATTTTGAAAAAATGGCAAGAACACCTTTTGCACAATTTTTCACAGTGATTAGAGAATGTGCTAATATATTTTATTTTCAATCTTTGATATGATACTTAGTTTAAAAGTTTATGATATAAATGAAAAATTTGACATTTTAGAAGTGTTTACTCTGGAATATGGAAAAATTATAGAGTTGGTTTGATTTAAAAGATTTTGAATTGCTAACAATTCAGAAAATGTTTCCTAAAGATGGTCTATTTGAATGCTAAAAAAGTTGGAGATGTGAACTTGAAGCATAGGGATGCTAGTTTTAGATTTAGAAGACCTAAAGCAGACTCATTCTTCGATAAAAATTTATTTATGGTTAGTTATGAATACCTAGTTTGCTTCATAATTGTGTGTGCAGTTAGTTTATTTTAAACTTTTGTTGGTTATGATACAAGGATGTGTAGATCTATGTTTTATTTATTGCTTGCTTTTATTGTACTTAATACTTTGATCAACTATAGTTTGATATCCCTAAATATGTCAAATATTTTTTCCATAATTTGAATATTTCAAAGCTAATACTCACTAACATTGTACTTAAGGAGACTTCCTTTTTATTTATATTCTCAAACTATTGAAAACCTATACTAACAATGGAATGGATAATGTATACATTTATAAGTAATACTAATAGTCTATTACAACAGAATGGTACCTAATTGCAGATCTACCAACATTTAGGAATCTGAGTGAGGCTTCAGAAAAAGTAAAATTTTAGCACACAGTCAAGTGCCTAAGGCAGTTACCTTGTGTGTGTGGGTGGGGGGGGGCATGCTCCCCCAGAAAATATTTTATTAAGTGAAGCAAAATTGTGTAATCTAGTACATTTCCTAGATTAATGTGGATGCTGAATTGACCTCGATCTAGTCAGTCAACCAAGTATGATGCATTATAGAAAGCTGTTGATTTGACCAAAATGACTTTTTTTTTTAATGCTGTGTGTGAGCATGAAAATAGGAGTGAATCTTACACTCAAGGAATGAGTGCTGATGGCACCTTTACTGGCATTAATGAGTATTTTAATTATGCTCTTAACAACAACTACAACTTCACCACAAGTAGTACTTCACTACTTGTACTAATGGCTTAAGTTGTAGCTATTGTTTGTTAACAACTAACTTAGACTAAGTCTACTGAAATAACGTACAATTTACAAATTAATAAAACTAAAAGTAACACAGATTTAAAAAACATTTATTTATTACTGCAAACCAAAGCTATTTGGCTATATATTTCGGTCACATTTGTTCAGGCAATCTTGTTTTGCAATAATAAATAATTGTGGTTCCCGTCGCGTGTTACTTTTATTAAGCTTAGTTTTACGTTTTATCAATTACAAACAATTAGGCATTACCATTCCAATACTCATGGCATAAGATTAAGATACAACTTACAACTACAAGAGTAAACCAATTTAGGATTTTAACGTACAAACTATTTTTCAACTTTCGTTTATCTTCAACTTCCAAGCTGAAGTGATTCTTTAGCTTATATTAAATGAAGCAATAAAAATGCTTCTTAAACGCAAAAGTAACATTTGTATATGTATCTGGCTATGAAAAATAAGTAAACTTACTTGGGTTTATTTTCAGCCATGGTAAGTATGCTATCCTACACTTCTCAACGTTTGAATCGTTAGGCCCAAAACACACACACACAGAGTGACGAATCGAAATAGAAACATATGAACAATTCTATCGCCCTCTATACTAACTAGGCAATTAGTATTATACGAGTCATTTATCTAAACATTTTTAAAGGTAAATGAATATACATATATATATGTATCACTTGTTAGAAATTCTCAATGATGTATCTTCGGATTAAAAATGCATTGAAATACAAAAGTTTTATTTCATGTTTTCATTGAAATTAGAATAAAGTAATTGTATATATATACCGTATTTTCCCCAATATAATGCGCACTTTTTTTCCTACAAACACCTCACGAAAAATTGACTCCCCATTATATTCGCGCACGTTCAGTTTTGTTAGGTATTTTAACATAACATAACAATTTGGGACAACATGGGACCTATTGGTCCATCTTGGCTGTTCCATCCTCTAAAGTAAATTAAGATATTTTTAAAAAATCTCAAAGCCAGCCCTTATAAGTCATATACTAGAAGCTACCACCGAAAATCATTGAAGCATCATTCCCTCTGCATACAATGGGCCTCAGAAGAGAAATCAATCAAAAAGACCAGAAATCATCCAGAAAGGGGTAGTATTATAAGCTATATTTTCAATGTTTTAATTTAGATTTCAGCTAAACTAAGAGATGTATATTTAATACATTAGTATAAATATGCATAAGCAGTTATTGATGATTTAGTGTGAAGTATCAATTTGAGTAGTTAAATTCCGAGAAGTTAGTGATGATCATGCATATTCAGTGTTTGTAGTCTATTAAGTTAATAAGTCGATTAACAAAGAAATTATGTTGAAAGTGAAAACGTTATTTGTGAACTTAGCTCTGAAACTGTGTGCAAGTGAAAAAAACGTGTAGCTAACGTTCAAAGAAATATGGAAACTAATCTGTTATCGTTACCTGAACTGGGCCTGGCTTTATGTTTACGAAATAATCCAAGAGAACCCGACCGAAGATAGAACACTGTTACGCTAGTAACACGTAATGATATTCTCGAAGGTTCGTGAATGCTCGAGTGTTTACTAGATGTGCGGTATCCTTGTATACAAGACCGCCAAAAAGTGACGGCAAGATGGGAATTGAATTGCAGACAGAGATAGAGACGGACAATTGAGTCAAGCGCGTGAATCGTTCGTTGTAAATTATAGCGTTTGTTTAAGTTATAGCGTGACTGTGGAAATTAAGTGTATTGCAACGTTGTATTGAGAAAGAATAAACTAATTTTATTTAAGAAAGGACTTGTATCGCTCAAGTTTCTTTGGAAAGAATGTTTACGGAAAATTAACAAACGAACAGAGACGTAACAAATTGGTGTCAGAGAGTGGGATGGAAAATAAAAATAAAAAAGAAGAAGAAGAAGATGGAAACGAGAGGTGGCAAATCAAACTACAGCTTAGCAGATTTGATGGCAGTAATACAAGAACAGCGAAAGAAACAAGAAAAACGAGAAAAGAAACAAAAAAGAGAGACAACAGCAGTTGCAAGAAAACCTGTAACAGTGGCAGCTCGGACAGCAAAATAAACAAGTAGAGATATTACAGCAGTTGTTGGAGGAAAAAGAAGAGAGATTACAGCAGTGGCAAGATAACTTGCAACAGTGGAAGCTCGAACAGCAAAATAAACAAGAAGAGAAACTACAGCAGTGGCTGGAGGAGAAGGAAAATAAACAAGAAAAGAGACTACAGCAATGGATGGAAGAGAAAGAAAATAAACAAGAAGAAAGTCTCCAACAATTGAGAGAAAGCCAGAGCACACAAATGGAAAAACATTAGTAAATTTCAAAGCAAATTAAATACATTAAAGGATGATTTACTGTCTTTTACACAAGGAGGATATATTAGCCATGGAACTAATCAGCCTCAGACAACGGGAAGCCCTTCAT